CTGGGAGCCGTGGTCATCATCGGAACGGGTACGGCAGCTCCTTCCAGCCCGGGTTGCCCGCTCGCTTTCCTGCTCGATCCCCACTCAGCTCTGACCAGAAGTGGCTGTTCACAGGGTTCACCTGGAGTCACAAGGGATTTAGCTGTAGAGAGAACCAAGTGAAAATGCCTTCAGCCACACTGCTCTTCATCTGTGCTCGTGTTGCCACACTCCGGGCTGTGCAGCAGGGCATGGGTCCCTCCTTGTGTTGTGTAGTACAGGGTCTCCTGCTTTCTCTCAGCTTTATGTGCCTTAACACCCTTCTTAAATAGCTGCTGCTGCTTCCCCATGGGGCAGTGGGGTGAAAAGCTCTTGGAAGGCACGTTGCCCTGTGGCAGTTTAGATCTCTGCTGAGCCTGTAGTCGTGTGTGTTCTTTGTCCCTTTAGTTTTCTAACTGCCTGGATAAGGCTAATCTAGGAGTCAGGGTGCTGCTTAGGAATCAGAAGAGTAAAACTTGAGGTAAGCCGAGACCCTGCCTCTCTTGGTGGGCTACGTGTTGGCATTATGTGATGCTTGCCTTGTTTTCCAGGCAACCGATGCGTGAAGGGAGAAGAGCTGAGCTTGAAAGGGGAAACGGTGAACGACTGCCATGCAGAAATCATTGCTCGAAGAGGCTTTGTGAGGTGAGATGAGCGGGAGAGTCGGCTGCAAGAGGTGCTGTCTTTGCATGCTGAGCCGTTCGGAGGGAGCGTCACTGTGATGGGCGTCTGTGCTCCTCTCGCCCTGCTGTTTAGCCATGTGTTGTTAAATAGAAGGATGTTCTTTCTGATAAGAAAGGGTTGTGCCTGAATGGTGCTTGAATTAGTACTGAGTTGGAGACTCGCCAAGAGCCCAAGGGCCACGTTTAATGTACTTAAAATAAAGCATCCTGCAGAAGCTGCTTGGCCGGCGTGCAGAGCTCTGCTCCAGCGTCAGAACAGCCCTCTCTGAGCCAAGGTACAGCACGGCCTGATGAGCTGGGAGATCTGCAGGCCAAATCCCCTCCTCGGCCTTCTGGATCTGGGTGCGGATGTCATGCACTTAGCGCAGACGTGTTGATAAGTGAGAAATCCTTTCTCATCACCTGGGAAGGACTTTCCTGAACTAGACCACGTTGTTATCACTTTTTTGCACATTTAGCATAGCACTTTATTTCGCTTTGGTTAAAAAATCAGTTGTAATTGGATTAACTTTACTATTGTGCCCGTTTGTCCAGTTTCCAACAGCAAAGCCAGGTGCTCTCTTACAGCCTTTGCTGCTGTCCTGCTCCCTCTGCGAGGGTTTGAGGGCAGGCCCATAGCAAGCTCCAGCATCAGAGAACTGCAGTCTTGCTTGCAGCTGTCTTGGCCCTAAGTCCTGACAGAGCTAGCAGAGTCCCTCTGAGATAGCAGAGCTTGGAGAAGAGGGAGGTCTTCATCTCGCAGGGTGACCCCTTGCTCGACTCCCTGCGACACTGAAGTTTTCCTGTAGTCCTTGACAGCATGTTGGAAGCCTTAAGGGTTTTCTTTTCCCCAGTATCTGAAGAAAAAGCAGCCATAAAAGACCCAGTCATTGTAACCAGATCGTGGGGTTGTGCTAATGATACCATCTCCTTCTGCTGCCCCGGGACTGTTTACTCTTACTGCAAACTTGGTGCTGACCAAAGACGCTGGGGTTGCAACCTCGGGGTCCTCTTCACACCCAGCCCAGACGGGAATGGGCAGCAGCCGGGCAGGCTCCTTGCTGTCTGCGGCCAGCGCCTCCCTCTGCTCACCAGACACAAGACTTATTTTCTGTTCCCTTTTGGGTTTTGTTACCAATAAATAATGCTATTTATTGGCTTCCAAGTAGTTGTAGCTGGGACTCCAGGCCATGTGCCAGGACCAAGAGCTCCTGACTGTGCAGCGAGGGCAGCACCTGGGGCTCTGCCTGTCACAGCTGAGGCCGTGCTTGGTTTGAGGTGCCCCTCCTCTGAGCAACAAAGCAGCCTTTTGCATTGGTATTTCAGGTTTCTGTATAGCGAGCTGATGAAGTACAACCCCTGCAGTCCTTCCTCTGTAGAAGAGAGTATTTTTGAGCCAGCAGGAGAGAAGAGACTCCGAATCAAGAGCAATGTCACCTTTCATCTCTATATCAGGTTTGCGGGGGCTTGTGTCAGTGCTGCAGATGGAAGTGGGCTGCACAGTGCACCCCACTCTTGGGCACTAGGGTGTTTTGTTTGTCTTTCTTGCTGACCCGGACAGGTTTGTTTTCTAGCACAGCACCTTGTGGCGATGGGGCACTTTTTGACAAATCCTGCAGCGACCAGGCAAGCACCGCAGGGAAAACCCAGCACCAGCCTCTGTTTGAGAACGCCAAGCAGGGCAAGCTGCGCACGAAGGTGGAGAACGGTTAGTGCACCCGCTCCCTGCCCGGGCCTTCCCCCTTCCTATGTGGTACTGAAATGATCCCGGAACCTGGTGCCTGGACTGACCCCAGAGGCCGTTCTGTGTCCATTCTGTCCTGAAGGCGTGCGGGCTGTTTCTTGTGCCCTGGATGATGGTGTTTGGGGATTTGTTTTGCACCTGATTCTACAGAAAAGCTTTCTTTCCCTCTCATGCAGGGGAAGGTACCATTCCTGTGGAATCGAGTGACATTGTGCCAACGTGGGATGGCATCCAGCACGGGGAGAGGTTGCGCACCATGTCCTGCAGTGACAAAATCTTACGCTGGAACGTCCTGGGCTTGCAAGGGGCGTTGCTGTCGCACTTCATCGAGCCCGTTTATCTCAGCTCTGTTACGCTCGGTACGAGAGCCGCAGTCTGTCCTGGGCTGGATTAGCTGCCCTGCTCCTTAGGATAGGGCTGTAGTAACAAATAACCTCCCTCCTGCAGGAATAGCAGAGCTGCTCATTTGTGGAGGCTGTAGGAGTGAGCCTGTAATGTTGCTCTTGGTAGAGCTGCGCTCTTTGAAGCAAAGCGAGGGTCTGGATTTCATGCAGTGGATGGAGTGGGTGTTTTTTGCAAGGCTCTTGGTTTTAGGAGGCGCATCTGATCTAGTGATCTAGACAAAAATTGCCTGTGTGTGTCTTGGGTGATAAATGTGAAAGACAAAACTAACAGATAGCAGTGGGAAAGTTGCTGTTTGTTCCACGTGAAAAGGGCTGCAGTTCTGCGGTGCCGTCCTGCCCGTTGCTGGGGCAGCACAGGGCAGGTTTGTTCCTAATGCCCTCATGTCTCTCCCCAGGTTACTTGTACAGTCAGGGGCACCTGACACGGGCGATCTGTTGTCGCGTGGCGAGAGCCGGGACGGCGCTGGCGGCCAAGCTGCGGCCTCCGTATCGCATTAACCACCCCGAGGTACCGCGGCCTTGGCGCCCCATCGTGTTTCCGTCCCCTCTGCCAGCTCTGGTGCGGGGCCCGCACTCCGCGGGGCGTTCAGCAGCGGTGTCGCCTTGCACACGCCGTGTCAGCGGGGTTGGAAGGTGAACGGCCGGTAAACCTGCTGTGTCCCTCATCCCTCGGGAGCTGCGGCAGCAGCTCGGTGACCCAGGCTGCCCTTGTGCCCCCTTGGCCTTCAGCTCAGTACTTGATTTCAGAAGGTGAGAGCCAGGCGCTTGGTGCTCTCAGGTGTCTGGGCTGAGCACAACTGTTGTCTGCAAGGGATGGAAACTCCCCCAACTTCACCTTTCCCAAATAAAATGGGGCCTGCAGGGACTGCTTCTCCCAAGGCGCAGCCGCAGGGGCTGTGGTGCTGTTGGCGATCAAGGGGCTGGGAAAATGAGCTGCTAGCCTTGGCCAAGGCCACGGGCCAGGCGGCAAGAAAAAACCCTCTTCTCCCTCCTGCAGGTTGGCAGAGTCAGCGTGTACGACTCTGCCAGGCAGACGGGCAAGACCAAGGAGTCTTCGGTGAATTGGTGCCTTGCTGATGAAAGCAAAGTGGAAATCTTGGATGGCACAAAAGGAAAAATAGAGGGGTAAGGAGAGCTTTTGCTGGCGCTGCTCTTTCCCATGACGGGGTCAGTTCTGAAGCTGCTAAAATGTTCTGTACTGTGACAGCAGCTTGTGCATGGAGAGGGCTGGAGAGAGCAATTCTTGACTCAAGTGGGCGCTCTTGGAGCAAAATGAAGTGTTTCTGCAGCAGAGCCCACGAAGCCGAGAAAGATCTCGCAGGCGCCTGACTGCAGCGCTGTTTGCTGCGTCCCCTGCTCCTCTCTGCTGCTTTTCATGTCTTGCCCCTCCAGGCTTTTCTCACTGCCTTTGTCTCGCTCTTCAGCCCCAAGTTGGAGGTGTCTCGTGTGTCCAAGAGGGAAATGTTCGCCCTGTTCCAGCAGCTCTGTGCCAAGAACGCCCGCGCGGAGCTGCGGAAGCTCTGCGTGTATGCGGAGGCCAAGGAGGCGGCCGCAGCCTACCAGGAAGCCAAGCGCTGCTTCTTCCAGGCGCTCAGCGAGCTGGGCTACGGCAGCTGGATCCGCAAGCCCCAGGAGGAAGACAATTTCTCGTGTTCGACTGCGTAGCGCGGCCCCCGTGCATGGGGAGCGGGCGCGTGCGCATCCTCTTCCCACCGTTCCCCAATGGAGGCAGGAGGAGGCAGCAGTTTTTCCCTGCGGGAGCACCCCCAGCCCCTGATGCTGGAGCAGTTACAGGGAGAGCCCAGCGTTTTCTTTTTTAAAACTTGTGTGAAAATTATTTCGTCTCCTTTTTTAAAGCTCGAGCAGGCTCAGTTGCCTCTTGCTTTTACGTTCTCTCCCTCCCTTTTAAAGAAGGCCCAAAGAAGCAGAGGGGGCTCCGGGACTGCAACCTCAGCCCCTTTGGACAGTGCCCGGCAGCTCCCTCGGGCAGGTTTTGGTGCAGACTCTCTGATGCGAGAGCCCTGGGGCTCCTTGTGCATCTTTCCCCGTTGTCTGGGACCCGGGACTGCGCATCCCTGCTCTGCCAGCAGGACCAGCCTCACATTCCACCTTGATTAAAAATATTTCTGTGTTATTAGATGGCTCTGGCCCAGGCTCTGTTTTAATTTCTGTGCCGCGAAAGGAGGGTCCCTGCCCGGGAGAGGGGGAGTTTCCTGGATGCTGCAGAGTTATTTGCTAAATGCAGCCCTGAACCCGGCCCCTTCTCCTTTACTTAGGCGGGTGGAGGGGAAGGGGGGACCTTAGTGCGGAGCAGCCG